AGTAGGCAATGTCTTAAGTGCAATAGCTACTGGGCGGTCAAAGTTAATTGGCCAGTAACCAGTAACTTTTATGCTAGCCAGTACTGGTGCAATTTGGAGAGTTGAACCATGCAATCGGACCAGGAGTTAAAGTCCACAAGGAAGATCCTCATCCCACTATTGGGAAGGGAGCTTCTCTCCTGGTGCCTCTCAACCCTAGCATAAACTGGTTTGCTAAGCCGCTAATGCAAGAGCATACATGATCGCTATAGAAAAGATGTTGAAAAAAATAAGTTAAGACGACGTGTGAGTGGAACCCTCTCACACTTGTTGACACGGAGAAAGTATTGATATACATAATCTTCATGTTTGGCTGTGCACATTCGGTTGAATTTAGAGGCCGGGTTTATCTTATTTTCTAAAAAGAAAAAGATATTCTTTCATGTCACTCATAACTAGCCATTTCTCGTGTGAGTTGTCACAGCTTGAATTGGCACCCACTTTTAATATCCTACCTTATTGCGATAGTACTATACGGGCCGGTAAGCTTCAGTTCGATTGTTGCCTTTTACAGTATGTTACATTTCATTCACTAGTACAGAGTTAAGTTCGGAGGATGCAGAAAGCTAGTGTGCTAGTGAGTGAGTTGCTGACAAGTGAAAAATCATGTTATGTGTCATAAAATGCCATTGGATGGTGAATCACAAACAGACCATGGGATTTATACAGTGATTTGTCAAGTTGCTTAAAATTTGCATATAAATCTAGTGCAAGAGCTTGAACACAATGGGGAAATGAGGACCCCTCTTTGAAGATTCGGCTAAGGGACAAGTCAAGCATAAGTCACCCTCAGGGAACAGATGGACGCAAAGGAGAATACAAGTTCGGGCCACACAGATGAATAATACCCACTCCTCTGTGTATGTGGACTATCAATGTGGAAAGTTACAATTAGATCCGTGACTTGTGTGAGCTCTAATTGCTAAAGAATCGAACCCTCTATCTGTTGGCATGGATCCTCCTTTTATACGCAAACAAGAGTCCACAATGCCAATGCATGAATACAGGAGAGGACCCCGCTCCAAAGAGTTGGGTATGCTTAGTCTTTTCGATGTCCCCATGGCAATCAGCGCCCAGATGTAACAGCTTCGCTCTCCGGTTGACAAGTGGCGCTGGCGACGAGGTGATCTCCACCCCGGTCACCGTGGGGCCCACCAGTCAACCCTTGAGAAGTGACAAGGTAGAATTCCGCTGGAGTGATGCGGGCGTGACACATCGCGCCCCTCCTATTCCTTCGGTAGACGTGGGGGTGTAGGAGGCTACATGTGGCGCCACATCTCTAAAATATACCTGGATGAGTTCTCCAAATGGCTCCCTCCTGCAACATAAATCATGATGTTAGTTTGGAATTAAACCTCCGGACCCACCTAGAGAGGCGGAGAAAAACCCCAAAATGAGCTAGGGGCAGTGGGGGTGCGCTTGGGCCTCCACCTGGGCCCCCTAGTCACTTGTACTGTGCTCTAGGGCAGCCTCTGCTCCTCGGGGCAGCCGCAAACCTAGGGCTTCTTGCTTGCCCGGGGCACCGAGGATCTCTCCCTACTTTATAGGTTTTCTTGTTATTTTGGATGAGCTTCTCGAAGATGTTACTGATGAAGGAGTTCATAGTGATCACCTTCGACGGAGTAGCACCAAGCAGCTGTCTGCCTCCTTAGCATATTGGAGACATAAATCTTGTAGGTATGTACCCTCTCCTTGGCACCTTGGGGATGTAGACACTGCGCATTTCTTGAAGATGTAGATCTTGTACGTCTCTTATCGTAACATACAACCTCGGATGCCCCAAAGACCCCGGAGGACCAGGGACTCATGTTCCCGTTCCTAACACTATGGGAGTGTTATGCGCACGTGCTATGGAGAAGAAAGTAGATGTCCAATAATTTTTACATTTGATCAAATGTTCAAAGCATAGCTATTCCTGTTAAAAATTGTTATATTTTGGGACAGAGAAAGTAAATAGTGACCGTGGTAAATTCCGGTATAGGTTTTGCAACAGCCAAGGGCTTGGCACCATGATGTGAATTTATGCCCTTTCTACTATAGCAATTTGTTCTAAACATGTTAACTTCTTATGACCGTATGCGATTATGCCAAATCACCACAAACATAATATATATGTATTTTTATAATCCTTTTTTCTTTTTTTTTGGTAGGCTGGTGATAGATTGACAGTCAAGATTTTATTAAGAGAAGGAAAATAATTAAAATGGGCTTAGTTCATTGGCTACAGTGTTTAGGGCCGGTACAATTTGCAAAGTTGAACCAACATGAACTCAACTTTATGTGAATCTCATCGTGCTCTGCTTAAGAAAAGTGGCAGACCTTTACAAGAGAGATTCCCATCCCATAATTGGGATGGGATCATCTCTTCTGATGCCTCTCAACCTTACCATAAGCTGGTTTGCTAAGGTGTGTATGCAAGAGCATACATGATCACCACAGAAAGGTGTTGAAAATAAGTTGAGATGTCTTGTAAGTGGAATCCTCACACGTTGGTGTTGAGAATATATGGACATGGATATATGTTCTCCATGTGGCTGATACTAGCCACCTCTTGTGAGTTGTGACTCTTCAATTGACACACCCACTTTTGACTTCCTACCTTATTTCTCTAGTACTTATACTATACTTGCACCCTTCAATTCAACTGTCGCTTCATGTTGTATTTCATTCACTATTAATTAGTACCCTCTCCGTCCCATAATATAAAGGGTTTTGGAGGGATGTGACACATCCCAATACTACGAATCTGGATAAAGAGTCTATCCAGATTCATAGTATTATGATGTGTCACATCTCTTCAATCCCTTATATTATGGGACAGGGGGTGTACAGACTACAGAGTAAGGGTTTAGCAGTATACAGAAAGCTAACATGACTATTGAATGAGTTACCGACAACGGAAAATCATGTTATCAATTGTCACAAAAATATCATTCGATGGCGAATCACAAACATTCAATGGAATGTGTACAATGATATACTCCCTCCGTAAAAAAAAAAAACCATTCCTATCATTCCAAGGTAAAATTAGTAAAGAATGAAAATGACAAATGCCTCATTATTGAAAAAAGTAGTAATGGTGATAGGTAGATAAAGGGTATTGAAAGGATAAAACTTCTCGATTTATGTACTGAGAGTAGGTACGATGGTAAAAGTTGGCTTTTAGTGGGACAAAATTCAAACAGCAGAAGTTGAGTTTTTTAGGGACGGAGGGAGTATATATTACGTTACCTCAAATTTCATCTAACTCAACACGCGACACTCGAGAAGAAAAATATAGTCAAGAGCTCCAACTCAAACTTGATTAAGGCTTACCATATGGTCCGAATGCATGATTTCTAGTAGATAGTAGGTAAATACCCATCAATTGGAAGTCTACTATATATGAGATGCAACATTTTTAAGAAATATAATCATATATGCCCCACCTTCTTCTAAATGATTTATGCTTATAAACTAATTAAGTTTGGACTGAAAGTGCTACTAACACTGTACCGGTCACAATTTGCATGAGAACTCTTCCAAGAAGCATATGCTTTGCATTGGCTTGTGTAATCGGCAGGGTCAGGCCGTATAGTGATGCAAATGTACTGACACTGGAGTTGTTTATGTTGTTGTGGCCTTGTGGGTACTAATATGGAGTGGTGAATCCAAGGAAACAAGAAACCTGGTCTCAAGTTGCAGAATGAGAGCAGCTTGGTTGATTTCCAACTTGTTCACTAGGTGCGTTGCGCCGACCATCTCTTTCACACAACTCTGGTTGGGATTGCCCTTGCAAAGGTGAAATATGATGTTGGCTTTGTATCTCCAATTCCTGCCCAAGGAAGCCCCGGAGTTGTCCGGTTAAATATTAGAATGAAAGCTTCAATCCTGATGTCTCCCAACCCTATATAGGAGCAGCATATGCAATTTTTTGTAGGATCATTGCTCAAGCATATATGAATAATTAATAGCCATAGGAAAAGGTGTTGAAAATATCCTGTACAGTAGCAATGCATACTAGGAGTATGCAGTGAGTTTTATGTGCTTTTCTGGTGAAGTGGTGAGCGAAGAAGTAAATTTGCACCGGTTCTAAGAATGGAGGATGTGTTATAGGGTTATACCCGGTTTTACGGTCGAGGGAGAGAGGACTCTATCAACAGTAAAAATGAGGATGAGGGAGATAAACTAGACATATTCCCATCCACTTTGCCCTATCCTAAAAGTTTGCGGAAAAGCTAACTGGAGCGTACACGCTGGCAACGCGCACTTAGTACGGTGGATTTCCTTTTTTTCGTAACTTTTTTTTCCCAAGACGAGTGCATCTAACGTAACTAATACATTAGTTTTAGATAATGACGATAATTAAGATAAGATTTTTCTTTTTAGGGATATTTTTTTAAATAACAGATTAAAAATAAATCTATATATGAAGTCAAATTTTGAAAACTTTCAACTCGAAATATGAATTTTTTGCAGTCACTTTCAACTTTTCATCTCAATTTTGAAAAACTTTCAACTCGAGATTTGAAAATTTTTAACTCAGATTTGAAAACTTTTAACTCTAGATTTTAAACTTTCTTCAAATTAAAAAACTTTCAAGTTAAGATTTAAAAACTTTCTACTCAAATATTTTTAAAAAAGTGTATGCTAACTATTAAAAATAAGGAAAAAACACGAAACAAAAATAAAAACCGCGAGGGGAGGGAAAGCGGAAAAAAGAAAAACGAAAAAGATGGCAAAAAGAAAACGCGAAAAAAAAAGAAGAGAGAAAGTGCCGCGTGGGGGCGCCAGCTGTTACTGGGGCGCGCGCCAATTAGCTGCCCCAAAAGTTTGGCCCAAGCCCAAGCAAAATCCTGGAAAAAGCTCGACAGACTGTCACGGCCCGGTCCAGTTCGGCCCAACGGGGGCGCCTTGCGCCACCGTGTCGGAGACGGGAGGCGGCGTGGCCATCTCCGCTTGGCTCGACGGCTCGCGGCGCAGAATCGGCCAGCGAGGCCGTCGCTTGACTGCCTGACTTCCGAGCTCCTCTTTGCGCTTTTCTCCTTTGAACCTTCCAGAACGCGCAAGGAAGATCAAGCAGCGCGCGACGACGCGACAAATTCCCCCCCCCCCTCCCCCCTGCCGGCTGCGGACGAACGAACGAACGAGCGAGCGAGCGAAGCGAGGAATTAAGATGTTCATCCAGAAGGTGAGGAGATGTCTCCAGCTCTAGTCTCTCGCACCATTAATCTGATGTCCTCCTGTATGCGTGGTTAATTTTGGTGGATTTGGTTGTGTGGGCGTGTGTGTGTGTGTGTGAGGGCGCGCAGGCATGGAGGACGGCGGCGTTTGGGGTCTACGGCTTCACGCAGTTCACCAAATCCGGCTTCGTGTAAGCGTGATCTCACCGAGTCACCTGGCTGATTTCCCCCTTGTTTTCTATAGCTTTGCCAATTTATTGATATTGTGTTCTAGCTGTGAAACGATAGTCTGTATCCCCTGTAGGAATCCTGATTTTTTTTTTGAAGGGAAAATCCCGAATTTTAGGATACAACTGCTCTGGCCCGTTTTGGAGATGTGATGTAATAACTGTGATTATAGCTGCATTGTGCGAATTATGTGTAGTTCGATGCCATTATGCCAAGTAGTGCAAAGATAGGGAACCCCTGTCCATCAATAAGTACCGGAATTATTTAGTTATCACTGGAGCAAATAGTATCGAAGGATTTTCTGAGGAATCTATTTGCGTGTAGCAGGTTAACAACTTTCACACAATTTGGTACTGAATGAAAAGCTGTCAAAGGATGCAATTGTTGACACCATGGCTGCATTATTTTTGTGTTCCATGCTAACGAGGATTCTTTTATTCAGGGAACATGCCAAGAAATTCAGAGAGGAGGATATGCAGATCCGGCTGGATGGGAAAAATTGCCTAGTAACTGGGGCTAATTCCGGCATAGGTTTTGCTACAGCCGAGGGCTTGGCATCACGGTATGGATCTATACCTTTCCTACTATGATGATTTGTTCTGAACATGTAAAATTCTTGTGATCACATGTTTTGTATTCTTCCAGTGGTGCCACTGTTTATATGCTTTGCCGTAACAAGGAAAGAGGAGAGACTGCTCTCAGTCAAATACGATCTAAAACTGGCAACATGAATGTTCATCTGGAGGTACATGATGCTTCAGAACCGAATTTTACTGCATGCTAATTTGCAATAAACCTTGGTGATGTTGTACAGTAACTATACCTGAACTAAGTCTCTAACACAACAATAGTATTGTGTTGCAGATTTGTGACCTTTCATCTATCAGTGAAGTCAAATCATTTGCAACAAAATTCTCTTCAACAGATAAACCACTTCATGTCCTGGTGAGCTTTGCCTCTTCAAAATTATGTCGTATATGTGTTTCTTGTCTCTGGTTGTTGCTTCTTTTATGTTATAACCATATAATTCAGTAAAGTTTTTTTGTAAATTACATTAATCATGGTTTTGAATAACCAGCTATAACATATGGGTTGTTGTTCTAGGTTAACAATGCTGGTTTACTAGAGCACAAGCGTGTGACTACGCCAGAAGGGTGCGTGATACTCTGTTGTTTATTGTGCTCAATATATTCTCCCCTAGTTACTTTCGTACTCACTAAACCAGATATCTTGTTTGCTTTCATAACTTATCCTTTTATTTTAAAAATAAAAAAGGTTGGAGCTCAATTTCGCTGTGAATGTAGCAGCAACATACACTTTAACAGAGCTAGTAATGCCACTGTTGGAGAAAGCAGCACCTGATGCTCGTGTCATTACAGTTTCTTCAGGAGGTATGTACACCGAGCCATTGAACAAGGATTTGCAGGTAAATTTGTTTCCTCTATGCTCTTATTCCACAGTTGAACACAATGTGTAAATTGTGAAAATAAAACTTAATCATTACGATTTTTTCGTTTGTCATGCTCATGCCTCTCTTTCTCAAAACCTTTTTCGTTTCTAAGTTTGCAAGAGTGTTGTTAGGAGAAAGATATTTATACAGTAGAACTTGCTAAGAGGGCCCACTAGGAAGTTAGCAAAACAGAACAAAATAATATAGTTGGTGGAGCACTTGATTTTTTGTTTTCATACAGTTCACTTTGTGGTGCAAAATTCAAGCACCCTATTTATCTAGTTCCTCAACTGATTGTCACTGAAAACGAATTAGCTTTGGTGAATTTCAGAGAGTTTGTACAATTGCATTTCTCCCCTTTTCATCTTTTGTCTTATAATGGTATTATGGTCTTTCTATGCATATCTAAAGTGTTTTACGAAATATGCATGTCTAAAGTTATGGAAACCATAGAATCATGATGTTTTGTTTTGTCATAAAAATGAAGTAGCATGTGAAAGTAGTCAGATACTGCAATAACAGTCCTTTTTCACTATTGTTTATACTTCAGTTCGGTGAAAACAACTTCGATGGAACACAGCAATATGCCCGTAACAAAAGAGTTCAGGTTTGTAAACCTCGAAGTGGTTTCTTTATTTGGAATGCTAGTCTTTATGAGATTGAGAGAATATAACAATCTATGAACTTCATTCAGGTTGCACTCACCGAACGGTGGTCTGAAAAATGCAGCAACAAGGGGGTAGGTTTCTATTCGATGCATCCAGGATGGGCTGACACACCTGGAGTCTCCAAGAGCCTGCCTGGGCTTTCAGAGAAGTAGGGCTTTCTGCTGTCCTAAGTCCTAACTACTGCCTATCTTGATCCATCTGCTTTTCACTTAACATCAAACCCATAAACTTGTATTACAATTATTATGCTAGGTTATCAGGAAACCTGAGATCAAACGATGAAGGTGCTGATACAGTGATCTGGTTAGCTTTGCAACCCAAAGAGAAGCTAACCTCAGGGTCTTTCTACTTTGACCGAGCTGAAGCACCGAAACATCTGAAGTTTGCTGGGACTGCAGCTTCGCACGGGCAGATAGGCTCGATTGTTGATAGCCTTCGCTCCATTTGTGGCATTTAGGGAAAAAATATTTGCTGGGACTGCAGCTTCCCACGTTCAGATAGGCTCGATTCTAGTTTCTGGATAGCCTTGGCTCCATTTAAATTTGACAAAAAAAATGAATTTGCACCAGCCGGGAATCGAACCCGGGTCTGTACCGTGGCAGGGTACTATTCTACCACTAGACCACTGGTGCGTTGTTTAGAGGTGGTGACTCTTATTTGTAATCGTTGTTTGGTTTTACAACTATCATAGCTTTAAGTAAGGAACGTGGATATTTGTATTTTGTAATGGAATTTTTTTCCTATATGACATGAAAAAAGGGAGCAGATTTTTTTTTATAGAAATTTGACTTAGAAGAAATGACTTTGTGTTTGATAACACTTTGATAAAATCCCAGGTACAAATGATTCTCAAAATGATTGGCTTGATACAGAAATGGAAGATGCTCCACAAAGAAGAAGGAAGTGCTTGGAAGAACGGGCTACTGAACTAATCATGAAGGCAAGAAGTCTGTGAACCAGTGATGTTCATGTTCTACCGTTAGATACATAGTAAGTTTGTTTCTTATGAAAGTGGCAGTGAATGATATCCCTGGCTTGCATGCCGTAGCACAGATGGATTTGGCTATTGAACATGGATTAACAGTTTTGTGAATCAGCTTGAATTCTGTGTGTGAATGAGTGAATCGGCCTGACTAACCCGAGACAAAGACAAGAACCGCCTGACGCCGTACAAATGATTGGAGAGGAGATGGGCAAGAAAGTGGCGAGACCAAGAAGCGAATGCATGGCGCGTTGCCACAAATAGGCAGGGAGAGGCCCTACACTTCATGTCGAATTACTAGTTTCATGGACGGACTCCATATATCCTTTCTTGGTAGCTCACCCATTGCCATTCTTTCAAGCTCCCCGTCCAACCGATCGTACGTCTCCTCAGCTCATCCGCTTGCCTCGTCGCTGCTGCTGCTGCTGATCCACAAGCGTTCGTCGGAGATGAACGACCTGTTCTCGTCGAGCTCGTTCAAGAAGTATGCGGACGCGAGCCCGGCGAGCGGCGTCGGCGGCAGCGACATGGAGGCCGGCGGCGAGGGCGTGGTGAACCTGGACAGGTTCTTCGAGGACGTGGAGGGGGTGAAGGAGGACATGAAGGGGCTGGAGGCGCTGTACAAGCGGCTGCAGTCGACGAACGAGGAGACGAAGACGGCGCACGACGCCCGCGCCGTGAAGGCCCTCCGCTCCCGCATGGACGGCGACGTCGAGCAGGTGCTCCGCCGCGCCAAGGCCGTCAAGGGCAAGCTCGAGGCCCTCGACAGAGACAACGCCACCTCCCGCAAGGTCCCCGGCTGCGGCCCCGGCTCCTCCACCGACCGCACCCGCACCTCCGTCGTCGCCGGCCTCGGCAAGAAGCTCAAGGACATCATGGACGACTTCCAGGTATAAGTCAACCTACCCTAACTGAGTGACATGCAAACAACGAGAGGATGTCATGTCCTTGTGGAGGACGGCGATGAACATGGAATGCACGCAGGGGCTGAGGACGAGGATGGCGGCGGAGTACAAGGAGACGGTGGCGAGGAGGTACTACACGGTGACGGGGGAGAAGGCGGAGGACAGCACGATCGATTCGCTCATCGAGTCGGGGGAGAGCGAGTCGTTCCTGCAGAAGGCGATCCAGGAGCAAGGGCGGGGGCAGGTGATGGACACCATCTCGGAGATCCAGGAGCGGCACGACGCCGTCAAGGACATCGAGCGCAGCCTGCTCGACCTGCACCAGGTGTTCCTCGACATGGCGGCGCTCGTCGAGGCCCAGGGACACCAGCTCAACGACATCGAGAGCCACGTCGCGCACGCCAGCTCCTTCGTCCGCAGGGGCACCGTCGAGCTCGAGGTGGCGCGGGAGCACCAGAAGAGCAGCCGCAAGTGGGCGTGTGTCGCCGTCCTCGCCGGCATCATCCTCATCGCCGTCCTCATCCTCCCGGTGCTCATCAACCTCCGCATCTTGACGCTCAGATGATTCATTCATCATTTCCTCCCTAGCTAACCTGCTAACTCAGATGTGTCAAATTAATTTATCTACTATTTTTTTTCTCCATCATGTATGTTAATTTCGTTTTCGTTTAAAAAGGAAAAAAAATCTCTGTTTTTTGGTTAGAAGTTGTAGGCTTCAAAATTTGTACCTTCCTCATTGAATGAGAAGCAGGGGAGATGTATATTACAGTGATGTAACATTTCTTGATCATGATTATTCCATACTGGCAGCAAATTCAATCTTTTAGCTAGGATTCTCTATGTTTGAGATGGGAAAAAAATCAACATTCTTTGAAAGGAACTGAATAATATTAGCCTCCATCAAATTACATCATGATAATGCCATGCTAATGTAAATTTAATCAGTTATGGCCATGTTTGTTTAATCTCTCCCATAAGGGTTTTGAGGGATATTTGGAAGGGATTTATTCAACAGCTATTGTGGTGTGAAATTATTTCTCCTCGATCCCCTTCATTCCTCCTCTCTTATGGATATTATACGAAAAAGGTCTAATAGGGTATTATCTGCATTCCATTTCAAAAGAAAAGGACACATCCGGCGAGCAGAATTTGCAAAAAAAAATCACAACAGATTTGAACGCTGCAAAATGGACAATTCAATTCATGCATAGATAGGATATGTTGAACGAAAAGAAACGAAAATGAAAAACCTATTGATTATCCTATCTATGTAGACTACTATGAAAATTTCCCTTTTTTTACCAGGTAAACATTTTTCAGTTTGATATATACTCCCTCCATTTAAAAATATATGACGTGATTGACTTTTTTTTATAACGTTAACCATTCATCTAATTAAAAAAATATTATTTATTTTGTTATGACTTATTTTATCATAAAAATATAATCTTAACTTATACTTCTACCTATTCATTACTAAATCTTTGAATAAAACAAATAGTCAAATATTATGTGAAAAGTGAACAACGTCATATATCTTAGAACAGAGGTGGTATTATATACACGGACAACGTAATTTTACAAGAGAAAATTAAGGATGCATCCGGCGTGAAGAATTTGCAAATGTCACAACACATTTGAACGCTGCGAAAAATGGACAATTCAATTCACGCATAGACCCACTCTCACTACATGTACGCCACGCACGCACCCACCCACCCGTCTCACACGGTATGCTCACACCAGCACCATCAACAATGCCAGCAACGCCGCCGCGGATAAGCCGACGCCGGCGACGGCCGGCGCGGCGGCGCTGATGATCTGGATCGGGAACGCGCAGCCGCGCGCGGAGGCGTTCTTGGTGGTGATCTTGGCGAGGCCGTCGAAGTCGCAGGCGCGCACGTCCTGGTCCTGCATCTGGAAGTACATGTTGAAGGCGTAGGAGATGTTGCTCTTCTCGTCGAGGCCGTTGCAGGAGCACCCGTAGCCGAGCGCCGTGCAGTCGCCGCTGGCGCACGCGTACTGGATGTTCCCGGGGAGCTTGGACTTGTCCTCGGCCCCGTCGTCGAACACGCACCACTGCTTCGGGAGGTACTCGACGCCGGGCACGCCGGCGAGCGGCTTGTCGTTGCCGTGGCCGGAGAGGTCCATCGGGAACTTGGGCTTGCCGTCGTAGGTGAAGATGCCCCAATGGCGCTCGAAGTTGCCCGGGAGAATGCTCTTCATGTCCTCGTCGAAGAGGCCGAACATGTAGACGTCCATCTTGCCAGGCCGGAGCGGCGTGCCTTCCTTCTTGGAGAGCTTCTTCAGGAGGCCGTCGTAGTAGCGCCGCGCGAGCTTGAGGTTGGCGTTCTTGTCGCCGTCGGTCGGCCAGCCGACCTCGCCGACGACGACCTTTAGGCTTGGGACGCCGGCCTTCTTCAGCGCGGTGACCAGCGTGTCGTAGTTGGCGTCGAACACGTTGGAGTAGCTGATGCCGCCCTTGTCCTGGATGGTCTTGCCGCCGTCGACGAAGGCGAACTCGAACGGGAAGTCGTCGCTCTGGTACAGGCTGAGGAAGGGGTAGATGTTGACGACGAAGGGCGAGCCGTGCTCGTGCAGGAACTTCACCATGTCCGTCATCAGGCCCTGGATGTCCGGCCGGAACGCGCCGGAGGACGGCTTGTTGTCCGGCGAGACGTACACGTCGGCGTTCAGCGGGACGGTCGCCTTCACCTTGTCGCCGACGCCGGCCTCGTTCAGCGCCTTCTGGATGTTCTTCAGCGCCGGGAAGGTCGTCTTCATGAACGATCCGTTGTACGCCTTGAGAAACGGCTCGTTCCCCACGGCGACATACCTGCTCGATCGATCAGACTCACGATTAGGATCATCGCGGGGATTGCGGCCATGGACGAACACCTTGGCGAGCGGCCGGCATATGCCCCTACTTGATCTTGAGCTTGTCGCCGTAGCTGGTGACGTTCTCCTTGACCCAATCCTGGGCGTTCCCGTAGCTGTTCATCGTCTCCAGCATGTCGTTGGGGATGCCGAGCATGACCTCGATGCCGGAGTCGACGAGCGCGCCGACGGGCCACGGGTCGGCGTCGAACAGCTTCACCTTCAGGATGCCGTTCTCCTTGAGCATCTGCACGACCGACTTGGGCAGCAGCGGGTGCGACAGCTGCGAGCCCCAGTTCACGCCGACGTCCACGGCGTTGCCGTCCGCCGCCGCACGGGACGCCACGGCGAGCAGCAGCAGCAGCGCGGCCGCGCCGGCCGGCAGCCGCGGAGGCGGAGCCATGCCGGGGTTTGCCGTCTCAGCTCTGATCGATCTCCCCGCCCCCTGTGTTTCGGATCGATGGCAGCTAGGTGAGAGATGATCGGATTTGGTGGTGTTCGCGCGCTGCGGGCCTCCCTCCCCTCCTGTGGAGAGGAGGACAAAATGGCGGGTAAAACGGTTGGAGTTTGACCAGAAAACATGCAAGAAAAGCTCATCACCTGTAGACCTTTGTTGACCACAACAATTTCGCGTAGAAAAAAATAAAATAAAACGACCATATAGTTGCATGCACACGTGTTGTTTTTCAATAAACAACGCAAATCTTTGAAAACTGGGGCACGAATATGCTGCACATTGGCTATCGGAAGAATACCAAATTAACATTCCTAAAAGTGTTCCTTTGTGAAAACCTACAGCTGCATTTGTTGTTGGATTTAATTCCCCCCATATGTACAAGTTGAATTTGATTATGTACTATGTTTGCGGACTGATCACTTCATTGCAAAAATAAATTTGACCAAATTTTGATATTTTTATAGGGTAACAAACTAAACAAGATTTTACCATTGCAACCTTACCAAAATCTATCAAAATTTGACTATTCCAGAACCTTCCATTAACAAAATGCACCAAATTTTAGTAAGTATTAAACTAAACAACATTTTCACATTCATTGACTTGACGAAATTTAGCATTGTCAATCCTTGGTTTTACCAATAAATGGAAGTAGTAAGATTTATTTTGGTAATGAAGTGAATAAATTCGTCATTTGGAAAAGTCCAGTCATCCCTTGAGGGGCACCTTTTTTTTCATGTTGCTCAAGAAATCATAAAAAAATTATATTTTAATAAGATAAATTAATATGTGATACATCATAAAAAATATGCAAGTTGATATTTAGCATATGTAAAATAGAAATAAACGATAACTTTGACTATAAATAGTATGCACCATTTGCTGTCAATTTTGTTATAATTGTTTATATGTGTAAGTATAAATAAACAAATATAGTGTCTTAAAATTTTCTTTAATATTTCTATATATATTATAATAAAAAAATAATAATAAAAGTTGTTTTTTTAGATTGTGTTCTTATCCAAAATGGTAGTTATTATTCACCCGAGGGAGTAACATTTCTCATTGTTAAGGTCAAGAAAGCCAGAGGACATCATGCTCTTATCGGTTAAGAAATGCAACTGTCACATTGATCGTGTTGCTATTAGTTTTTAAAATCATGTTTCCTTTTCTAAAATAAATTAAACAGACACCTACACATATCATATTTGGCAGTATTTCTCACTCCCGATGCATAGAATGCATAGAATGTGTTCAATGTTTAAGCCTTTAAGATCACTGTAGAAATAAGATGGGACCCACGCATTCTTACGTTCATTTGCATATAGCACATGCTACAATGTATATAGCTTTTTCTTATAGATCTTTAAGCTGGGACCCACTCATTAAAAAATTTTATTTAACATGAATGAAAGAGCACCATGCATGGTGCAAAAGGTACGAACTAATTTTTTATTTCTTACGATCTAGCCTTAAGGTTGGCTATAGATATTTTTTTCACTTTCTCATCTCCCAATGTATAAAGGTAGAACAAAAATACTATTTTATTATTTTGCATGCAACACCGTGGATGCAGTAATACTATTGAAGTTTCGAACTCATCTTGCCTCCTTTCTTCTTCGCCGCACGGCAGGCAAGCGCCTGCATGATCTCGTCGATGCCGGCTGATGCTACCACAGGGATGACAGCAAAAGGAACAATGATGATAGCAGCAAGGGTAGTATGCACATTAGCACATACTCCTATTCATTCTAGTGCAAAACATGACTGCCTCCTGGCCTTGGAACTTGGAAGATTACAATTCGAAGAATCAGGAGTGTCTAGGGCATGTTTAGTTGGCAAAAAAAAAAAAAAAATTACCCCTGCATGGCACATCGGATATATGGACATACATTTATATACATTTGTAGTATTAAACATAGTTTAATAATAAAATAAATTACATATTCCATCAGGAAACCGCGAGACGAATTTATTAAACCTAATTAATCCATCATTAACAAATGTTTATTGTAGCACCACATTATCCAACCATGGTACAATTAGGCTTAAAAGATTCGTCTCGTAATTTTCTGGCGAACTGTGTAATTGGTTTTTTATCTATATTTAATACTCCATGCATGTGTCCAAATATTCGATGTGACAGCGTGAAAAATTTTGTTTGGGAACTAAACAGGCCCTAACTGGGCAGTAGAACTTTCACTTTCACACTATTGGATTGGGGCAAGATACTGGTCTAACATCTATGGTATACAAAGGTTAAAATTTGAGAGAATCTATTCTATACCACTGAGTTTGTTCGAGTTCAATGATTTACCATTGATATTGTCTCTTTCTATAATATACCAACGACTTTATCAATTATTCTACAGTACGCCATTGGCTGAAACTTCTATTCAAAAATACCCAAAATACCCTTAGAGACATACAAGATTAACAATTGATTTATCTCATCAGAAGTTTTAAAAAAATATGAAAATTTTTATGTGGCCTCTTTACACAATTTGGAAGTTTGTATACAAGTTTCAAGTTTTTTCAAGTATATTTAGTTTTTAGAAAAAAAAACATTTTTAAGTGGTATATGAGGGAGAATTTGCTTATACAAGAGGTAATAGCATAAAAATATCTTATATAGTGAATGAAAGATGATTTATATTGAAAACAACAATAAAAAAGTATTTTATATAGCATATAACAAACAAGTTATATTTTGTTAAAAAAATAAAAATTTAGTAAAAAACTTGAAACTTCTATATAAATTTCCACGTTGTGTAAGAAAGCCACATAAAAATTTTCATATTTTTTTAAACTTATAATGAGATAAATCAATTGTTAACCTTGTATGTCCATAAGGGTATTTTGGGTATTTTTGAAAAGAAGACCCAACATAATGGCGTATTGTAGAACAATTGATAAAGTCACCGGTATATTATAGAAAGCAACAATATCGATGGCAAATTATTGAACTCGAAGAAACTCAATGGTATAAAATAGATTCTCTCTTAAAATTTTCAGCCTGGAACTCGGTGCCAAGCTGACTAACGTGAAGATAACGATATGTGAAAAAGAAACTGGAATGCCTGAAACGATTAAGCTCATAATTTTTTTAAAAAATATTTGGTTCTAATATTTGGAGGGAGGTATCTCCCTTTAAATCATTTTTTTATAGTTTAGAAGGTTAAGTGGCCAAAAATTGTTTGAAGTAAAATGGACTACCTAAATAGGTTGAGGTAGTAAAGTGAACTTTTTTTAGGGTGTGTTTGTCACGGTCATGCATGGATAGGATATGGACATCCATATTTTGTTGGACATAGCGAACCAATTTTTTGTTTGGTTTGTATGGATAGGACGACTAAATTTTGTTTGGTTAGAGGGATATAACATGGATGGGAAAAGCCAAAAGTTTGTGGGACCTATTTGTCATATATACATATATGTATTTATATTTTTATTAACATATAATCATTCGAGATCTTGTTTTAAATATTTAATTGTAACAAATATAATGGTGTAAAGATAAATGGTTTAGGAGAAAAAAACATTTAGAGCTTGCTTCACAGAAAATCAAACCAACCACAGCCAATCAGAATACGACATATCACCCAGACCAAAACTGGATGGCTTCATCGAGCATATTGAGGGAATATTCTATATTTCGGACCACCCCATCTACCCTGCCCTCTAACCAAACACCACAAAAATTCAGACGATCATCTCCTATCCAGACTCATCCATCCAACCAAATACACCATTAATGAATTTGTATTGTGCTTATCAGAGGTATAAACAAGATAAGCGAGAGAGTACGTGAGCACTAGTTTTCTCGATGGATCCAAAGTAGGAATACAAGTCATCTCGTAGATCAAATCTATCTATTATCTATCTACCTATCTATTATATACTAAAAGTCCATTAAACTTTCTACAAACGCTCTTAAGCTGCCAAGTAGGACTCCTACAAATGCTCTTAGTCCGTCACGTGACTCCATCAAATCTAACCGTTGATTTTCACTTAAATGGTGAACCCGATAATTTTAAACCATTAGATTAAACTTTCCGGTGGACCCGATATTTTAGGCCATTAGATTACATATATTTTAAAAAAAGAAACTAATTCCTTAGGCAGTTACGTGTTTATGTATACAGGAGAAATTTGTACGTACGTACAACTGAACTAATGAAGAGAAAAAAAACTACACACAGAATTACCATAAAATCAATAAGAAAAAAACATACGTACTTAGTACCTTGCAAAAGTTTGATAATATTTAAAATAGGATTTTCTATTATTTAAATATAAAACATATTACTTCATAAATTTACATAAATATCACCGTCGATTTTTATTTAAATTGGTGGACCCGATCGATGTTTTAGAACATTAGATTAGATGCCTAAAAGTCCATTAAATTTCTCAAAAATGCTCCTAATTCGCCATATGACATTCTACAAACGTTCCTAAATTGTCATGTGATGCTATAATAAATGAGTGAAATTCTTAAAAAATCTGAAATAACAAAAACATATTTCATTTAATTTGGTGGACAGATTATTTATAGCCATTAGATTAATTTTCAAGAAATGAAATTACTCTCCTAAACCTAGGACCACCTAAGCCTGTATGTAAAAAACGAACGTACTTATGTACGCCTCCTCTTTCTTCAATTCATTTATCTACATTTTCACCGATTCCTTCTCATATTTTCATGCCTTATTAGTTAGATAAGCAATAATTTTGTGTTAAACAAGTAAGCTTCTGAATCATACAACTAATTTCTAATCCGCGTAAATCTTTAAATTATTTATAACTAAATCTACAGTTGAAGACCATATTTCACTAGCTATAATTTAGCTTTGAAAAAATAATGTCATTTTGGTTTATATTTTATTACTTTTGCATGCCATTCAAGCAATTATAAAAAATATAAAATACTAATAATAATATAGATTATATCATCATACATAACTTTATAATAATTAAATTAGGTCTATAATCATAAAAGTAAAATGAATATACTATGAGTAATGTTTCCAAAATATGTTAGTTAGAAAGCAAAATTATGCAAGAAAAAAAGCAACTATAGCATCTAAATCCACAACTAATATTTGATGAACTTATATCTTTAGATTATTTTACATTTAAAGGCCCATATCCACTGTAATATCGACTTCGAGAAGAAATATATCACTTTGGGGCTATATTTTCTAATTTTTGTGTGCCATTCGAACAATTATGAAATTATAGAAAGATAATGATATAGATTTTATCAATATGTATGACATCGGAATAATTAAATTAGATATATATGGATAAAAGTAAAATGAACCTAACCATGAGTAATGTTTTAAAAAACTACTCCTTCATTATAACATTAGAATAAGTCAAAATAACATTATTGGATTGTAGTGTTCGTATTTTTCATATCTTCTGCGAATATAATGGAAAAGACAAGTAAAAATGATAGATTTTAATCAATCAATAAATCATTTTTCAATTTTTAGTTAAAAAAGTAATAGCAACTAAAACATTACAATCCGGTAAAAAGAATTATTACAATTATATGCACGCATAATCTCTACCCTTCAACGCTCTCTTTCTCTACTCACTCATTTAATTCCTTTATCTCCTAATTTTTAACTAAGTAAAGAAATATCAATAATAAGAAATCTAAATGATTATAATTCTTAAATTAAATCATAATTTTAACTTATTTGAATTTTTGTTTTATTTACAATTAAATAAAATGTTTAAGATCCATATTACCCATATTTCACTTTATAAAAAATGAAAATATGTCATTTAAGCATAGACATCGTTCCTTTGCATGGTAACCAAATAGAAAAAACATGGACCATAATACAAAATGAAAATAAGTATTATATTACCGTAAATCACTGGACATCCTCTGAGCACACTCAAGGCGTCGCGTGTTACACCTTAAATAAAAATAAAACTTTACAAATTGGAAGAAAAACCATCTTAGCATCAGTTTCCACTTAAATAGGTAGATCCATTATTTTCAACCAATAGATAATCTTTTAAGAAAATCTTAAGCAACCATGTGTTACGTCTTAAAAATTAGAAAAAATAACATAAAATGTGAGAAAAAATATATCATCGGTTTCACTTAAATCATTTAGATAAAATAGAAAAAAAATACCCCTCCACTTCACCATCCCCCCACACATACGCACAACACGGTACTATTCGCCCAATCCTTTCTCGTCTTGAGCTCTCCACTCTACCCCTTCCTGTTTATATAGCCGGAAATAATAAAAAATTTTAAAACTTGCATAAATTTCAAGCTACACATTCGATTTCTAATCTAGATATTGTTGTATTTATAATTAAAAGATTGATTTAAAGATCCATAAAGCCTATATTTTGAGCTGGTATAAAATATAAAATAAAGCAAGTAATAGAAAATGACAATAGAGACTAAATTAAACTATTTAGAGAAAACATAATAGTTAGTAAAAAATTGGTTCTCACATTTCACTAAAATTGGACCAACCCATTGCATGTTCCTTTTTCGTAACAATTTTAAAATGCTTAGACATTAATGTCCTTACATCTATCCTATATCATAGCATTATGAGTTTCTTCACATATTATTACACATACAAACCGCACTAAGGTTCGCACTATATAGTTCATTGAAAAGTTATATTTGTTACTATTAAATTTAAAATTTTGGATTCATATTAACTAGGTATTTTCTTTTGAAAATATAGTACATATAACACAAATCGCAATGAAGCGAGGTATATGACATGTCTTTATTAATTTATATATAAGTATGTAAAAACTTGCATCAACTTAAACCAACTAGAAGGAGAACTACTTGATGCTACAAATAAATCATATTTATTAACAATAATAGTTCTTTAGAATTTGTTAAAAAAAGCGAGTAAACATTCTATTAAAAAGGGACAAAACACCTTACTTCTAATTTATACTTGATTTATTAGACACATTTTCCAAACAAACTAAATCGAACTTCATTCTATATAATAAAACGATCATAGATAATTATTTATATAGATGTATTAAATATTATATATTTTAAAACCTAACAAATATCTTGGAATAATTATCAAAGCAAAATGCCAATGAACAGCGGAGGCCTCATCTGATGTGTCTTATTAAAAAATAGTACTTTTAAATATGGGAGGTGTCAGTCTATTGATTTATATATATTCAAACGCAATATACAATACATGCCCGCGCGTGAATGGGCGGGCTACCTTTCTAGTTGTACTAAATCTAGTCCACAGTTATTGACGCCATATCCCATTGGCTAAGTATAAAGTCAAACTAGCAGCCGCGGTAATTAAAATAGTCACAAACAGATCTCAGCTTACCGCGGTATATGTTTCAAGAACACGTTACTCAAAGACAAAACTTCCATTCCCCAACTCCAAGCAACAAGCACACCCGTGCCATGGCCGCCTCAGCCAACCGCGCCGCCGTCAACGGCGCCGCCGGCAGCGGCGAGCCTGAGGCGAGCCGCGACCATGTCATCATCTTCCCGTTCATGGCGAAAGGCCACACGCTCCCTCTGCTTCACTTCGCCGCGGCGCTGTCGGTCCACCACAAGAGCCTCCGCGTCACCCTGGTCACCACCCCGGCGAACCTCGCCTTCGCCCGCCGCCGCCTGCCGGGGTCGGTGCACCTCGTCGTGCTCCCGTTCCCGTCGCTGCAGCCGCCGCTGCTGCCGGCCGGCGTCGAGTCGACGGACGCGCTCCCTTCCATGTCCCTCTACCCGGCGTTCCTGCGTGCCACGGCGCTGCTGCGTGAGCCCTTCGCGGAGTTCATGGCGTCGCTGTCCTCCTCCCCGCCGCTCGTGGTCGTCTCCGACTTCTTCCTCGGGTTCACGCACGGCGTTGCGTCGGACGCCGGCGTCCGCCGCGTCGTGTTCCACGGCATGTCCTGTTTCTCCATGGCCATATGCAAGTCGCTCGTCGTGAGCCCGCACGTCGGCGGCGGCGCCGCCCCCTTTCACGTCTCCCGCATGCCGGAACATGTCACGATCACGCCGGAGGAGATCCCGCCTACGGTGGCGAGCTTCGCCGACCCCGACAACCCGATTGCCCGGTTCATGATCGAGAACGTCGAATCGACGGACGTCCGCAGCTGGGGCGTCCTCGTCAACAGCTTCGCCGCGGTGGACGGCGACTACGTGGCCTCCTTCGAATCGTTCTACCAGCCGGGAGCCCGCGCCTGGCTGGTGGGCCCGCTCTTCCTCGCCTCCGGCGACACGCCGGAGCGGGACGAGGAGAACGACGACCCCGAGGGCTGCCTCGCGTGGCTCGACGAGAGGGCATCGCGGCCGGGGTCGGTGGTGTACGTGTCGTTCGGCACGCAGGCGCACGTCGCCGACGAGCAGCTCGACGAGCTGGCGCGAGGGCTGGTGCGGTCCGGCCACCCTTTCCTGTGGGCGGTGCGGTCGAACACCTGGTCGCCGCCGGTGGACGTGGGGCCCGACCAGGGGCGCGTCGTCAGGGGGTGGGTCCCGCAGCGCGGCGTGCTGGCCCACGAGGCGGTGGGAGGGTTCGTGAGCCACTGCGGGTGGAACTCGGTCATGGAGAGCCTCGCCGCCGGGAAGCCCGTGCTGGCGTGGCCGATGATGGCCGAGCAGGCGCTGAACGCAAGGCACGTCGTGGACGTCGTCGGCGCCGGCGTCAAGGTGGACGCCGCCGTCGGCTCCGTCGCCGTCGTCGGGAGCGCGGAGGTGGAGGAGAAGGTCAGGAGGGTGATGGACGCCGGCGGCGAGGAAGGGCGGAGGATGCGGACGCAGGCCGCGTGGGCTCAGCGCGCGGCGAGGTCGGCGGTGAGCGACGGCGGCACGTCACGCGTGGCGTTGCAGAAACTGATTGGAGACCTGCAGGAAAGCTACTAGTATGTCGTCACCGCAGCAGAATGAGGTGAGAAGAAATTGTTACAAAAATTGAGTTTGACCATACCGCCGGACAGCAGTATACACATCATGGTTTGACTAGGAACCTTATTTATTGTTGCTTCAGTATATGTGTTGCTTTGACTCTATTCTAAACTTGTTTTTATCAATAATTTATTTGAGATTGCTCCAGATGTTTCTAAAATTCTTCTAGTTATCCTCGCAACATTTCTCAACTAAAATTACTTGGACTAGTGTATATGAGAAGATATTGTCGCAATATGGAGTTTGTTCCAATGAAACTTATTTGTAATATATGTGTTTACTTTTTGGAATATTTAGCATATCTTATTTTTGGGTGTATATACTTTAAGTAACAATTATTTTTATCTTATAGATGTATTTATGGATTTTTAGATATATTAATGGATGATATTTCTTAAAAAAATATGGCTAATAGAATTGTTTAATCTAATTAAAGATAAAATTCTATGTACTTGTCTCTTTTCATATGCTTTCTTATTTTCATTGAAAATGAATTCTACTTGAAATAAGAGCGCAGTTATATGCGTAGTGTATTTTTAATTAGTATGTATAGAGTATTTTGAAATGTTTAAGTGTCGTAGACTAACGTATACTTGTGTTAGGGCAATTCTTTAAAGTTTTGTTTTATTGCATGACTTCTCATATATAAGTTTTGTATTATTTGTGTTTCCTAATTAACCAAAGTTAGTACTCCACATACAACTGGGTGTGTTTAGTTTCATGCCAAAATTTAAAGTTTGATTGAATTTGGGACGATTTGACAGAAAAGTTGGAAGTTTGTGTGTAAAAAAGTTCGACGTGATGTTTTATTTTTGGGGGAGGGGGGTTCAAGGTTTGGAACTAAACCGGGGCACTGTCAATCTTTCCGCTGTCTGCCACGTTCATCGGCATCAATGCTTGAGCTGACCAACCCAATGGCTGCTGGCTTGGGGAGACAAGAGGAATATGAAGATTCAGTTTTACATGTGGGATATTAATTATTTTCTAATATATTTTGCTGACTTAGAGCAAATTTAATAGTACAGTCTACTACTAGCTCTAATTCATCTATAGCCGATCTAATAGCCAATTCATACAATAGTTACTTACTATACGATTAATATATGGTCCCACCTATCATACACACATTGCATCTTGAAGTCCGTGCTACAGCCAGCTATAAATCTGTAGCCTGCTACTCTTCTCTCTCACCATTTATCTTATTAAAATATGTTTATAGTTGGCTAATAGTCTACTATTGTAACTGCTCTTAGATGGCCATGTCTGTGCTACATTGGCGAAACCACCATGCTTCAGGCAAGGAGGGGGAGGTTAATTTGAACGGTTTTAAGAGTTGAGGGGTGTATATTATACCCAGTTCTGAAGTTAAGGGTGTAATTTAGATAACTGCTACGTTATAGTTCGCGCGGGGGGGGGGGGGGGGGGTAAAATGGACTTATCCCTTTCTTTAGGGATAAGTTAGTTATTTTAAATTGAAACTAGCATGGTGGCCTGCGCAGATTGCGCGGCTAGCATCATTATATTTTGTATCATATAATAGCATATATGTTTTCTCATTGTATTTTTCAAAGATATTAAAATAACAACATAATTTTAAATTTTGAACTAACTTTACGAAACTATTAATGTGTAATATTTATATTGTATTTTATATACGTGTTAGTTATTAATTATTTTAAATATTAAATTTTAGTTATTTGTAAATTATATTTATATATGGACTCTATACTCACCTTTCAATATTTCTATTTTTTTAATTTCGAATTTTCGTTATCTGTAAACCGTATTTCTATATAGACTTTAGGCTCTTCTTCCAATATTATTTATTTTTAATTTTTAATTTTTATTATTTCTAATTGTATTTCTATGTGGACTCTAAACTCATCTTTCAATATTCTTTAATTTTTAATTTCGAATTTCAGTTACTTCTAAATTGTATTCTTATATTGACTTTAGACTCTTCTTCCTATATTTTTAATTTAGAATTTTAGTTATTTGTAAATTATATTTTTATACGGACTATAAACTCTACTTTTTAATTTTATTATGTTTGTTCCGATTTTTAGTTAGTTTTAAATTCCTATATGGACTCTATACTCTACTTCTAATATTCCTTATTTTTAATTTCGAATTTCTATTATTTCCTAATTGTATTTCTATATGGACTCTATACTCTACTTCTGATATTCCTTATTTTTAATTCCGAATTTCTATTATTTCCTAATTGTATTTCTATATGGACTCTATACTCTACTTCCAATATTCTTTATTTTTAATTTCGAATTTCTATTATTTCCTAATTGTATTTCTATGTGGACTCTATACTCTACTTCTAATATTTTTTTTATTTTTAAATTCCGAATTTCAGTTATCTATAAATTGTACTTTTATATGGACTCTAGTCTCATTTTTCAATATTCCTTATTTTTTAATTCCGAATTTCAACTATTTCTAAATTGTATTTCTATATGGACTATATTTTTCTTTTTCTCCGATTAATATGAGAATTTCTAGATCGTGAGAGCGAACGTGGAGGCTTTCTTTTCTATTCCTTTAATAAGTTAATAGATTCCTTGGGATGATTAATGCTTACAGTAAACTTTTGCGCTCTTCGACGTGTTATTGCTCTCATTGACGGGCCATGAAACAATGTTATTCCAGGGTATAGCTTCAGCCCAGCACCCGGCCCACGTAAGACAACCTGCGTGTGGCATCACACTGACTGTGTCGACGGTATCGTTTGTGCAACTTTGTGCTAAACTAGTTGGCGCAACGGTTGGACTCAACTTGGTCCGGATCGGATCGGAGTATCGGACAGAGTCGTCGACGTGCTCCGGTGCTGTGTGCTCCGCTGGCCATCGCAGATTCACCGCCCGGCCGGCCATACGCGTCAGCAGCTATACAAGGGTGCAGCGTTCAGTCACAGCAAACCTGAAAGCCGGCGCCAGCTGCATGTTCTCGCCTGCGCTTAATTAGCTTACTTCCACCGCTAATAGGAAAGAAAACTGTCGGAAATTAATGCTTAAGGAGCCTGCTTTGGAGTAGTATGACCAGCATATTTTCCACCCGTAATAAACTTACATTTGTGATCGTGGGTTACCAAAGTTACCGGTGAAATGAGAACCCTTTGTACACGTACGTGTTGTTTGGGAGAACATCAATAAGCTCGGAGTTCTAAGTTCTTTTTTTTAATAATGGAATATAATATCCCGACCTTTACTCAAAAGAGCTACAGCCAATTATTATATAGTAACATTCAAGAACAAAGTGTAAATCTAAATGAATAGAACACACCGTAGAGAAAAGCAAAGAATCCAGTCTAACGTAAGGAGATCACAATTATTGAAGTCTATTTGTAAATCTCCAACCATAATTAGCAAAAAGTTGCATAACCGTAGTCTCCAATTTTCGACATGCAATTTTTAGAAACTCTTCATCTTCTAGTTGTGCCCAAAACCGAAGCCAATGAGTTGCCCTGAAAATGACCAGCATATAGGAAAATGATGGTGATTTATTAAAAACCATATCGTTCCTACAAAGCCATATTTCCCAACAAATGACAGAAGCTCCAATAAGTATTAGTTTACTCATTTTCTTATCAACTCACAAAAACCACCCATTAAAAATATGAGATAAGCTAACTGGAAAATTAAAACCAAAAGAGAACTGAACTGTTCTCCATAGGAATTTCACAAAATGACAATTCATAAAGAAATGTTGAATAGACTCATTCTTCAAACAAAAAGAACACTTCAAGCTGCCATTCCAGTTACGCCTTGCCAAATTATCCTTAGTTAACACAACCCTTTTAAGCAAGTACCACATGAAAGTTTTTATCTTAAGTGGCAACTTAAACTTCCAAATACACTTATTTATCTCAATATAGCCATTATTAATTAAAGCTAGGTATATAGACCTCACCGAGAACAAGCCATTCTGATGGAAATTCCATCTAAAACTATCAGACGAATCATTCAACTGGATATGTACTATAGAGGCACACAACTCATGCCAACAAACAAGATTCTGACTAACTAAAGCTCTCCTGAAAGAAACATTAAGCGGAACATATCCCATAACAGTGGCAATAGAAGATGTTTTCCTTCGAACAATTGCATACAAAGACGAATATTTATCCTTAAAAGCCAAGTTACCTAGGCATTTATCTTCTCAAAATCTAATTTGTTCCCCATTATAGACAGTCCAAGAACCCATATTTAAGAAAGTACTTTTGACATTCAAAATTAGGGGGGTGATGGCGTGAGGCGACCTCCTCGGCGGCGCGCTCTCCCTCCTCCCTCTCCTCGAGTGGTTCCGCCTTGTTGTGGGGCCGCGCGGTTTCGTCGTTGTCTGCGACCACGCCTTTTCCAGGCACGTGCTATGCGAGAAAGGGGCTCGTTGCCGAGGTATCCAAGTTCCTCTTCGGCCGCTTCGCCGCCGACCATGCCGCTATCGCCATCGCCATTGCAGGAGTCAAAGTCGAAGTCGCCACCGTGGCCTACTTCCCCCGCCTGCCGCCGTTCCCCTCATCCTCCCACTGCCGCGAGCCGCCACTGCCCTCGCCCGCCTGCCCTCCCGCCGTCGCCCATGGGCTGTCGCCGCTGCCGCTCGGCCACCGACGACGTCACGATGCCGGGCGCCGGGTGGTGCAGGTGGTGGTGGTGCGAGAGGAACGACGAGCGACGCGACATGGACTCCAGCCCGCTGCTTCAGCTCCAGTCCAATGCCGCCGTCGCTCCAGCTAGCTCCCGCCGCCGCCGCCGCCGCTCGCTCCCCACGGATGGCCGTAGGGGAGAGGGAGAAATAAAGAGAGAAGGGAGGGGGGAAGAAGAAAGGGAGAAGATGGCATGTGGGGCCCACATGTCAGTGGGCCCCACAATTGTGTGTGTGAATGACAAACGGGTCCCACATATAACTTTTTTAATTGAAATGCCACCTACGCGCCACGTCAGCACACAGACTAGGTCGATACTGCCACGTCAGTGAAACCGCCCTCCAAAACCGCCGAGAGAGTCAAATTGCACCGGTTTCAATAGTTTGGGGGTTAAGATATCCGGTTCTGTGGTTTAGGGTCACGGATTAGATTTTGATTACTTTTGAGGGTCACCAAGTAAACTTTTTCCGCCAATGTGACGCCAGCAACGAGAATCAAGGATGGGAGGAGGCCACTGAAGTAGATCGAGCTAGAGAGGAGGGCCTGCAGAGTGGGCTGAATCCAAGAGAAATCGTATGGTGTTCAAGGATTCTAAAGTGAGGATAATTAAGATTGTCTCACAAGTGCTACTAAGCAGGTTATCTGCAACTTGCTCTTCTTTAAAAATAAAAAGGGTGGACAGATGCCCTTGCTTAAACACCTTTTTCCATTAGAAATTATTAACAGGGAATCGATTGCACAATTGTCTGCAAATTGTTTTAAAGATAAAAACGGTGGACAGATGCCCTTTCTTTTCTGAACATTTCATGTACTCTCCTCCACTGAGAACACAGGAACATTCTTTCCCATGATAATACAGAAGTACAGTTATGGGATTCCCTTAAAAATGAATACGTATAATGATTAGAAACATGGGATGGACATACCAAAATGATGATTTTCGTTGTTTTATTTTGGTTGATTCTGGATTAAATTTTTGGATGAGTAAAGAGAAGGGAGGAGGGATGGAGGATGATATACGTGCCTTTTGGCGAATCAGCTCAAGGCGGGGCAACACTATTGAAAAGGCAGAGAACGGTGGCAGCACGGATGCAGGCGACGGACGGCGCGAAGGAGAAGGGAGAGGGGAGAGAGGCGAGGGGAGTCGGGGGACGACGTGATGGAGAGACTGACCAGACGGGCGGAAGAGAACGGCGGTGGCGGCAATGGGAATCGATCGGTGGCGGTGCGACGGATGTTCCGGCGGTGGCGCAGAGGAGATCGGTGAAGCGGCTGTCGCTGGCGATGTGGGCGAGCAAGAGTGAGCGGTGGCGGCGGGTGGCGATTAGGGTCGAGGGGTGGGAGCGGGAGGCGGGGCACGGGTTGGGGTGCGATCGACTGTGCGAGGATGGAGAGGTGTAGGTCAGAGGTGTAGTGTGTAGAGTCCATCAGAATCGTTCAATCGGATATAGAAGATGAATATGGATTGTTGGATTTGATGAATCAGGATCGTTTAGTCGGATATAGAAGATGAATACAGATTGTTGGATTTGATGAATCATGATCGTTCAAGAATAATAAGAAGATCGTACTCTGTAACAATAATATATCCATTACAAATGAAGCCGTTGGCAAGTGTAGATTATTTATAGTGATGGTAGCGGCATAGCCGCACATGTTTAAATCGATGGATACATGTACAACCACAACCAATAATGACACACTCTTATAACCAGCTACCATATGATTATAAATACAATGTATCGACAGCTTTTATAATCTCAAACAATAGCCCATCGTGCCTTCGGGCCGGCCCGACTAGTATTGGGCCGTGCCTGAGCCGTGTATGCCGCCCGTGGGCTGGCACGGCACGGCCCGGTGCATCGGTCGGGCCGTGCCGGCCTGACAAGCCTCGGCCCAGGCACGGCCGGGCTTGGGCCGTGCCGTGCCGGGCGGCCCAGATGGCCATCTATAGTCTCCATGCAGTATCGTCATCTTATTATCTTAAATTCTTAATTCGTTTTGTGGTGTGAAGAGTCACCCAACTTTGATGACGACATCGTCGTAGCTTCTCTGCAGCTCTCCGACCAGCTTCTGCAGCGCTACGCGCGACGTGCCGCCGTCGCTCACCGCCGACATCGCCGCCCGCCGGGCCCACGCGGCCCGCGCCCGCATCCTCTGCGCCGCCTCTCCGCCGGCGTCCATCAGCATCCTGATCTTCTCCTCCACCTCGGCTCTCCCAACGACGGCCGCGCCGCCGCCGGAGTCCACCCTGACCCCGGTGCCGACGATGTCCACGATGTGCCTCGCGTTCAGATACTGCTCGGCGATCATCGGCCACGCCAGCACGGGCTTCCCGGCGGCGAGGCTCTCCAGCGCCGAGTTCCACCCGCAGTGGCTCACGAACCCGCCCACTGACTCGTGGGCCAGGACGCCGCGCTGCGGGACCCACCCCCTGACGATGCGCCCCTGGTCGGGACCCACGTCCACCGGCGGCGACCACGTGTTCGACCGCACCGCCCACAGGAAGGGGTGGCCGGATTGCACCAGCCCGCGCGCCAGCTCGTCGAGCTGCTCGTCGGCGACGTGCGCCTGCGTGCCGAACGACACGTAGACCACCGACCCCGGCCGCGCTGCCCTCTCGTCGAGCCACGCGAGGCAGCCCTCGGGGTCGTCGTTCTCCTCGTCCCGCTCCGGCGTCTCGCCGGCGGCGGGGAGAAGCGGCCCCACCAGCCAGGCGCGGGCTCCCTGCTCGTAGAACGCCTCTACTGGAGCCACGTAGTCACCGTCAAGCGCGGCGAAGCTGTTGACGAGGATGCCCCAGCTGCGGACGTCTGACTGGAAGACGTTGTCAATCAAGAACCGGGTCACCGGGTCGTCCATGTCGGTGAACTTTGCAACGGAATATGGTATGTCCTCCGCCGTGATCATAACATTTTCCGGCATGCCGGACACGTGAAAAGGGGATCCACCGCCGGCGCCGTGCTCGACGCCGGCCGGCGGGCTCACGGGGAGCAACTTGCAGATGGCCATGGAGAAGCAGGACATGCCGTGGAACACGACGCGGCGGACGCCGGCGTCGGCCGCGACGCCGTGCGTGAACCCGAGGAAGAAGTCGGAGACGACCACGAGCGGCGGGGAGGAGGACAGCGACGCCATGAACTCCGCGAAGGGCTCGCGCAGCAGCGCCGTGGCACGCAGGAACGCCGGGTAGAGGGACATGGAAGGGAGCGCGTCCGTCGACTCGACGCCGGCCGGCAGCAGCGGCGGCTGCAGCGACGGGAACGGGAGCACGACGAGGTGCACCGACCCCGGCAGGCGGCGGCGGGCGAAGGCGAGGTTCGCCGGGGTGGTGACCAGGGTGACGCGGAGGCTCTTGTGGTGGACCGACAGCGCCGCGGCGAAGTGGAGCAGAGGGAGCGTGTGGCCTTTCGCCATGAACGGGAAGATGATGACATGGTCGCGGCTCGCCTCAGGCTCGCCGCTGCCGGCGGCGCCGTTGACGGCGGCGCGGTTGGCTGAGGCGGCCATGGCAGGGCTTTGTTGTGGCTGGGTGCGCGCTTCAGAGTTGAAGCTGTCCTTCACCGATGTTTTTTTTTTTTTTGAGAACTACCGATGTTTTTATTATATAGTAAAACTTACGAAGTAGGTTCGTATTCCCATGATCTTCAACAACTTGTTTCAAAAGAAACTTTTATTCTTTAAAAAAGGTATTCCTTTGTCTGAAATTAAATATCTGTACGCTAAGGAGTAAAGATTATCATATTCAGCCCCACTCCGGTGCTTTATACTCTGATTAGAAAGCAATCTGGGCCATTGATCGTATTTTATTGTAGAGCTGAGATCTAGTTCTACTCTCACTAGTATTAGTGGAAGTAGAAATATGAAAGGGTGTTTTCGTCAAGAGAAAATAATCGCGTAGGGGTATTATCGTATTTTTTCAGTCTCTTACTCAGCCTATCCCGATCCGATTCCTCTCGCTTCGTCGCAATTTCACCGCTGCCCGTCACCATTCCACTCCATCCCTGCCTCCGTCGCATGTCCTGGCGCCTGCTCCCCCTCCAGCGCCGTCGCCCTCGCCCTTCCTCGCCGCCCTCGTCCTTCATCGCCGCCTTCTACCCCGCCAGCACCTCTCCGTCGACGTCCGCCTCCCCGCCTCCCCCGCTATCGGCGGCTTCCCTCCGTCGAAGCCCATTACTCGTCGCCCTCGCCGCCTTCTCCTCTGGCGGCGTCTCCGCGCCGGCTTGTGAGCCCCCACCGTCGCCGTCCTCCTCCCCCGCCCCCTTCTCCAGCGAGTCGCGTCGCGTCGCCGCCCCTCCACCCGCCTCAGCCGGCTCTCGATGAGGCCTCTTCACCGCGTCGCTTCCCCCCGCCACCGCCGCCACGTTCTCCTCCCCATGGACCGCCGCCCCCTTCACTCCACCGCTGTCGCCATCGACCTAGCCGCCATCGCGGCTCTCCCCTCCCCATAATTTCCCCGGCCCCTTCTCCGTGGACATCGACCTAGCCGCCGTCGCGGCTCTCCCCTCCACATCATCCCCCGCCCCCTTCTCCACCGTGCCGGTACCGCTGGCGTCCCCCTGCAATCGCCGTCCCCTTCTCCAGCGAGTCACCTCACGTCGTTCTCTTCCGCGCCACCAGCAATCCCGTGTCGATCTCCTCCGAGTCTCCCTCTAGCAACCTCCTCCTTGGATGGTGGTAAGTAAACATGTCAAAATTTCTTACTGTTATGATTTTGCAGATTAAGGTTGTTTGTTCTTCAATCCATTGTATTGTTCTTTGATTATTTGATTGAATGGTTGGGAGCAGGGTCAGTTTGCAAGATGTTGGCATGCGCGAAGGGTATCCGCATGCCGGCGAAGGGGTTATCGGAGTTGAGGTGCGACGTTGAAGCAGATGCACGTCGGTGACGTCGACAGCTTACTGCCCTGAGTCACCCCGAAGCGTAAGGTTTCATATACCGCTCCTTCTCAACAAGTATTCAAATATGAAATATGAATATTATCTCAAAAAGGCATCAATGTTTGGGATCCGTCAAATACCCAAGTAGTATGTAAATGATTTAATAAGGGGAAGAGAGCATAGTAAGGTAATTGTGGTAAATGTTCGAAAGATAATCCAGTTATGTCGTGGTTGGTAGCAGTGGACGATCTTTAATGTTGTTCAGTTCGGAGTTGATCAAAATTCCGGCTAAGTCCTGTCGAAATGTTTTCACTTCCTTCTGCATAATGTAAAGGGAGTGCACTTTAAATGATTTTTCATATTGGGAAGCACTGGTGCAAAATATGAATAGAGGTTGTTGTAGTTGCCTGTAGTTGAATTTCTGGGAGATAAGATCCGCTCCAATGCTCCATGAACTTAAGGGTGTACAGGCCACACGAGACGCTACAAGAATTTTGTCGTTAGGCTAACACGTTTCCGTAATTGAATAATGTGAATATCATGTGGAAGAGTTTGAGTCACCCACCCGTCTCCTTGCTTTGGCAATTTTTGGACTTTGTTGTACTCCCATTCGGTAATATTGAAATTAGGCCAATCGTGTTTTAACTGTGGGTGCTGTTTCTCTGTCCCGTGTAATCCCCTCTCGATAGCTAACAGCTAGGAAGTTTTGTGCAACGTTGGTACCATCTTTACTGATTGGCTTTGCGAGCGAATCTGGTATTTACACCTCACGTCGCTTGGCGTTAATAACGGCTAGGTACCAGTGTGTATCTTTAATATTAATTGGGAGGAAAATCTACAGATGTTCAACAGTAAGATAGAGTCATAAATTGAATTAGCCATTACATAGATAGCTTAAGTAAGTATTACCATGTCAAATGCTAGATAGCCGCGTGCCATATCTCTAATCCATCGTTTATTTCGAGGTTTGCTTGCTTCGACATGCACTCCCTCTACATTTAGTAGACTTATTTTAATGGCCATCTCTAGGAAGGCCTTGCCATCTCCCCTGATTCCTTTCACTTTATAGCGGAGGCATTGGATGTATGCATCCATGACCTGAATTTGAGGTTAGTTGAGTTACATAACAAATATAGTTATAAAAGAATAGTAGGCTTGTTAAATAGGCGAACTTACATCATCATTCAAGAATTCTGGTTGTGTTAGTACTTTCATTCTTATCCATTTAACCTCCACTTGTTCAATATGCACCATCACTTTGTTATCCTCTGTGTTATTAATGTAGGTAATGAAAGGGTCTTCTTTTTTAGTCAACTCTACGAAGGTAGGACAAATTAGTAATAGATCTATAGAAATGTTAAATGGTTAGGCATTACCTTCTGAATTTTTTAACGGTGTCTAGCCATTCATTTTTTTTTCTTCTTTTGACCTCTTAAGGCGTTCTTTGGTGGGCCATTGTCTATGATTTGTTGGGTAAGATCTTCCTTCTCGATGTACACTAGAATAGGGTAAGTCAAATCAGTAACACACAAACATAGAATATAAGTAAAAAATTATGGATGATGTAGAGAGTTCATACATTCAGATATTTCATACGGTGTTTGGTTGTTTTGTTTCCTCTTCTTTTCACCCCGTAATTCGTCTGTGTCTGGCATGTTAGCTTCTTTATCCGTTTACGCTTGAAAAGGAGGAAAGTTAGTACCATTTACATGAGCATATGTAACTATTAAATAGCATAGTACCTATTGTTTTCTTTGTCTGTGCTTGGGTTCTGATTATGTCCTTCTTTTTACCCCTAGTTTCGTAGATGAAGTCAGTCCGATTAGTCGGTTTGTATGTTCTTCCAGTAGGACCTGTAAGTCTCTTCCTGCTTTGATTGCTCTGGTTACTGTTGTCCTGTTAGGTAACAAAGTGCACGTTAGTATTATGATAAGTTGTAGAAACGTTAGCGAGAGAATTAAAATTCAGTTTACCTTCGTTTCACAAGTCATGTTTTCATTTTGGTTTATATAGTACTCTTCGTTATGATTTGATACATGCTCCCTAGGATCAATTTGTTCTTGTTCAACATCCTGCAATAGCGTCAACCTTTTTTTAGCGGTGTTACGTGAGTAATAATGATTAACAGTCTAGCTTATCATCTTTACCTCAAACACATGCGTAGTATCTTTTCGTTCAGGGCATTTTGAATCATTTTCCATGCAATCTAGTATCAATGCTCGCATACGTGGCCAAAAATCCTTTGTGAAATCGTTGAAATTATCTTGTAAAGTTTGGATGCTTTCTTGTATCCTTTCTTGTAAAGTGATATCGGCTGATTGTTCTGTGGATATTATAGAGTGTACCTGAATACCACAAGTGAGAAAAGGATGTCAAACATATTTTGTCAAATAGAGTTCGTATTAAAACCCCATAATATATACCTCTTCAGAAGTGCATACAAAATCTTCATTGGTACGTGTTTCTGAGTCATTGTCGTGCGCATTTTCATTGGGGATTTCTTTGCAATCTATAGTTCCCCTAATGTCGTCGACAACCTATGTTTTAGTCAAAAATGTGTATTAGAGATTTTACAGACAATTGATATAATTAGTGTATAGTATTAAAAATGAGATAGTTACCTGCCCTTTTCCAAAAAGGTAAAAAAGTCGTTTTTTTTCTTTTATTTTGTCCCAGTACTGAATTAGTTGCCTTTCGCGGCCAGAATGATATATTGTCACAGCCAATTTATCTATTCGCAGTTTTTCCCAATACCAAATCTGCAAGCATTTGAACATAAGATAATGAGTATTGCTATGAAAATATGTTAATGTCAATTTTGTAAACATACTCAATTTGTGCATTGTTTTGAAACGAACCTGTAAGAGGCATACATTCCCCTCAATGTTTGTTTCCTTCTCTCTAAATTTTAATATGCCTTTCAGTAACTGATTCAGGGTTAGACTAGACCAGTTTAGTTCCCTCATTTTGTCAACGTCGTCGACGAGATTGAGATATCCTGAGCGCACATATCTTTGAGTTGTAAGACATATGAAGGATCCAATTGAGAAAAGAATAAATCTTCGAATGAAGTGGTCATCGTAGCTCGAGGAGTTGATTATTGCTACCCGTAATGCTTCTAAAGTAATTGTTGTTTGTCCTTCTTTTTTGTACAGGTTGAACAATTCAGGTTTATTGATTTTTGGTGCCTCAAATATCTCATCTCCTTTCGATGGCAGTCCAAGCAAACAATCGACATCATCGAGTGTCATCGTTACGAACGTACCATTAATATTGAATGCTTTCTTCTCCTTGTCGTAGCTTCTTGCAATCTCATTGCACAAGTCCCGGTAAATATGTATTTTGTTAATCTTTAGCAAGTTGCCAAGTCCTGAAACCTCGATAGCTTTCTTTTGAGGTGGACTTAGATGTAGTATTACCTCGGACATGGCATGTGGAGAGCAAACTAGAGTTCCCTGATTAACAGAAAAGAGAATAAGAGTTTAGTCCATGTGAAAATTTATGCAATTGCACATATATATGATTGCACATTACCAAACCTAGAGATCATTTAATCCTGCTAGAAATCAATTAGAAATCAAAGGAAATAATGCAACAAACTTAAGCTGTAATGTATGCATTAATCATTTTTTTATCCTTTACAAAAATACATGAGAAAAGAAAAGAAAATTCATGCTCT